GGTTGTTCATCAAGGGTATTATTGGCCCCGGATCTAAGAAGATACGCACAATTTTGTCAAGAGGTGTGACAGGTGTCAGCAGTTCGCGAACATTCCGCGAGCCCCCTCCCACGAGCTGATAACGATGTCTAGCCCCTAGCCATTTTCCATGTGGGGGATCGACCTTATCGATCCCATGCCGGTTGGAAAAGGGGGGGGTTAAGTATACCGTGGTTGCGGTAGACTATTTCACAAAATGGGTGGAAGCTGAACCGCTGGCCGCGATCACAACCAGAAAGCTAAAAGACTTCATTTTCAAGAATATAGTATGCTGCTACGGAATTCCCCACACTTTCATCTCGGATAACGGAAAGCAATTCGATAACGAGGAGTTCAAGCAGTTCTGTGACGAGCTGGGCATCCATAAAAAATTTGCCTCAGTCGCCAGACCGCAAGCAAATGGCCAAGTTGAAGCTGTCAACAAGACCATCAAACACACTCTAAAGCCCAAACTTGGGGCAGCCAAAGGAAATTGGGCCGACGATCTCCCCGAAGTCTTATGGGCGTACAGGACAACTCTGAGAACCTCCACCTCAAAAACGCCTTTTTCGCTAGCCTATGGCTACGAAGCAATGATTCCTGTAGAGGTAGGAACTGGTTCTCTTCAGAGAGACTTGTACGATGAGGTTGAAAACGAAGCACTTATGAGAGCGAGCCTGGATCTTGTTGAGGAGTATCGCAGCAAAGCTTCGCTAAGGATAGCAGCATACCAGCAGCGTGCGAAGAGATTCTTCAATTCAATGGTCAAGCGAAGAGACTTCCAGGTCGGTGACCTTATGCTAAAAGAAGTTCTCCTCGGAACCAAAGAGCCAAGCGCAAGGGTATTAGGACCGAACTGGGAAGGTTCCTACCAGGTCGACAAGGTGATCAGACCGGGGACTTACCATCTCAAAAGGCTGAACGATTCCAAAGTACCCCGAGCTTGGAATGCCGAGCACCTCCGGCCATACTATTAGTAATCATGAACTCAGTGCTCATTGTAAATTAGGTTTTGATTTTGTTAGTTTCCTTTTTATTGTAGGATATTATCCTGTTTGCTTGTAACAATTCACATGTAATATTGCCTATGTAAACAAACTGAACTGTAAACTGCACTCATGTATGATTAAGCGAACAACGATTGAAAGCAAAGCGTATCTCATTTATGTACAACAAAAATTGTTAAGACCCTATTAATTCCTATGGAGTCAGTCTCATCGCACTATGCCTAGTCGGTAGGGGGATCCTTCGAAGCAAGACCCGAACCCTCTGGCTGGTCGGATCCTCGGGTGGCTGCTGCTGCTTGATCATCTTCCCTCGCCAAGATCTGCAAGGTCTTTTGCCACCCCTTTGGGAGGTCGGAATATCCAGATCTGGGTTCTTTGGTCGCAGGGTATAAATGGACCCGATTGCCCAGTCGGCGGCCTTATCCTCGATCTCCTCTGACTAGATCCGTATTTCTTCAGCCAGGGAAGCAATTTTTCCCCGACTCTCCTGGAGTTCGGCCTCGAGAGCTAGCCTTTCCTTTTTGGAGGCCTCCCTTTCTTGTTCTGCTCGCTGAGCCCATATTAAGGTCGTTTGGAGCTCCTGGTCCTTCTCTCCAACCTCCTTGGAGAGCCTAGCGGTTGTCCTCTGAAGCTCTTTTACTTCCTACGCATGCCGTTCAAGCTCCGTCTTTTGGAAGTCAACTGTCCGCATAGCGGCCTCCTTTTGGTTCAAGTATCTGTTCGCTGCCTCAAACGATTGCGTTCTTTCCACTTCGACGGTCTCCAGGCTCTGTTTGAGCTTCGCGATCTCCTCTTTCAGATCATTTGCCCCCTTCGCGGCCCCCAGTCGAGCTTTCTCCATGGACATCCTCATGGCAAGCAAAGCTTGCGAGCAAGAAGTGAGTTAGAATGAAAATGGCGGACAAACACTTTAAGAACAGTTCGTTTACCTTGCTTAGATGCTGGAACGACGTGGTCATCAGGTCATCGCCCGTATCGACGAACTCATCATATGACTCCGATAGCCCACACTCAAGCAGAGAGTAGACTATCGGCTGCAGGTATTCGGGCAAGTTCTCCAACGAATCCAGCACTGGTGTGTCCTTCGCCTTGTCGGCAGCAACCATCTCGTCCGTGGGTTCCTTGCCCGACCTCCTTCTGACGTCCCGCCGCGACCTTAGTGGTTCTTCCTCAGATTCGGTCTCTGACTCGTCGACCTAAATCTGCTTCCTTTTCTTCAACCGCTGGGCCAGAGCCTTCCGCCTAAGGCGAGCAGATGGCGGCTGAGCGACCTGTTCTATTCTGTCCTGGTCGTTTCTTGCTCATGACGGGACTGGGTAGGCATGACAGTTCGCACCGGTTGTACCGCTGTGGGGTGAGCAGCTTCGGCTGCCCTTTCTTTCCTCGATCGAGGGAAGTTAAATGGTGCTCGCCGGGGCTGCTCGGACTCTTTCGGAGGCATGGTCGCTGCATGCAGGTGCGTTAGTAACTAAACAAAAATTATTCCACGACCATAAAGGAATTAGTGTGCAACTTACATTCTGGGGACTCTAAAGATGCCTGGTCTCTAAAAAAACCGTACTTCCGCAAGTTCGCGGTCGTCACGAGCTTACTCGCATCCCGGCTTTCTTCAGGGAGAACCCCAAAAGACACGATCCTATCCGGGTCGGTGAGCAGGTCTAGGCTGGTCGTCTTATTAACTGCAAAAGAATGCAGATCGTTAGAAAAAACGAGCGCACAGTTAATGAATCTAGCGAAGAGAGACCTACTTGGTTTCTGAAAGAGGCAGTAGCCGTTGTAGCAAAAGAAGAAGAACTTCGTCTCGTAGGCCCCCGCGTTGCTGGGATAGCTATGTATCCCTTCGGCGATGGTAGATCGCCGAGACAAGTAATATAAGTCTTTGTCCTTACTCCTTTTGAGGTAATACGAACAGTCGAGCTCCACCGCTGTTAGCTCGCCCAAGCCGCTCTCACGGCATGCGATGTACATCGCAATAGCGATGACATACGCTTTTGGCGTTAATTGCATTGGTGCGATCCCGAAGTGATCCAGGACCGACCTAATAAAAGGGTGGAGAGGAATCATCCCCCCACCCTTGAAGATCTCTTCGGAGATCGCAGCCAGGCCATCGGAAGGATACCGCGATGACCGGGTGGCGTCAAGGAACACCTCCGCGTGGACGCCGAACTGTCTCTTTATCCTCTCGAATTCTTCTCGGGTGAGAACCGAGAAGACCTCAAGGGATTCGTCCACGGGAACATCCCGCGAAGACGAACCGGCTCCTTCTTCGGATCTGGACGCTGAGGGTTCCATTCCGCAGTCTGCAACACCGACAGATAGAAGGTCATTTTAGCCATCTTACGTCGCCTCGTACGGCGGCTTGGAGCAAATTCCCTAAAACCTAACAGTAATTCAAGCCGCCATTCATGGCAGGAACCCGACTCCATCGTCACGCCTCTGATGAAACATCAGATGACGCAACGCCATTGTACCCAAAAAAAAAAAAAAAAAAAAAAAGGGAACAAAAAACCCTTACCTTTTGGGGGACGTGACCGTGGACGTTCTTGCTTCAGGTTCGGAGAGATGTCAATCAGAAAAAAGGCTTCTATTTTGCATAGGAGTTTTCGCTCGAGGCAAATGGGATTCTGGTGGCCTCATCTGGAAAATTTGGGTTTTTATATGGACTACGAATCAGCGTTTACCGCCCCTTGGAATCAAAACGACGTTTCTCTCTCTCAGCATTAAATGCGCCTCTCGTCGCATTTATTGCTGTAATGAGGGTTGTCGTTTCGGGCGTGTCATGCAATTAATGCTCTGCCAAAGCAGTAACGCGTCAGCACACAACGCATTTAATGCGCCTGACAGACGCCTGACACGCGCAGAGCGCTTGTCAGCGCAGAAATGACCTCATTAAATCTCCATCTCTATGGCACAGTAAGGAACGCCCGATGAAGTTAGGACGCTGGGGCGATGGTTATCAGGTCGTTCGGACGAGGTTTGCGCGAGGTCATGTTCGCAAAAGGTCCTATCCCGAGCTTCTTTCATTCAGGTCGGAATGGTCAGGGCCTCCAATCGCGGCATGACTTAGTTTCCAAGGTTTGATCCTTAAACCTTAAAAACCAGGGGACTTCTATTATGCTTGGGAAATCAAGCGCTGACGTGGGAAATCACGTGATGGGGGGTGACCTGCTCCCGTCAGGCCTGCAAGATGCCGTGGAGCTCCCACGTGTCCATTCCCTGCTCCAAATCGCGTGAAATCAGCTTGGAAGGTGGGCAATGTGACGTAAAGCCAGATTTAGTCTTGACATTCACACCAATCCATGGATTTAATGATGATTATCTGCACTCATCTCACTATAAAAAGGAAAAACCCCTTCATTGAGGGGATTCGGCCTTTTTACATTCTGAACTAGCTTTCTCTCTCTCTTGTATCTTTGTATTTACTTTTCCCTAATCATTTGTAAGTCAGTCCGCTGTTGCGACCTGACCCACGATTATAATACAACTATCAGTGGACGTAAGATTTGCTACCTTAGCATCCGAACCACTTTAAAAAGCTTTCATTGTTGCATTTACTCTACATTTTATCCATAATCACGTGTGTCTCTTAACCAATCAACGTTACGCACGTGTCAATTAGTTGGTGTCAAAAGCACGCATCAACAGTTTCATAAATTAACTGATATAAGATAAAACAAATATAATGTTTAACTAATTAAAAAATAAAATTATTTAAATATATATATTAAATATGATAATGGTTAGATTTATGTGTATTTTTTTTTTTTTAAATTTTGGATATAATTTTGTAAAAATTATTATATTTTATGGTTAATTAAATTAAATGGGTTGAAATTTAATTAAAAGGTCCTCAGGGATTATTTGTGCAAATATTGAAAAAACAAGAGGAAGAGTGGGGACGGCTTCAACACAACACACAAGAAGCCAAACACGTCCCAACAAATACATAAAACTAAAATAATTCCAATCTTCTTCTTCTTTCTCTTTTTCTCCTTAGATTCACTCTTCCTTTTTTCCTCTCCACTTGTACTCACCATTTTCCTCCATCCTTTTTTTTCGTGTTATATAAATTCCATCAATTAGGAGCTAGAACTTGAAACCCTAGCTTCTGCTCTGAGGTTTTCCACCTTCTCTTTTCATCCACATATAGGTTAGACACTTTATTCATTTCATTTTGGTTTCTTTTTTTAATTTTATGCAGTTTTCTTTTTTCTTTATTTTATTTAAGCTTATTTTATTTTCGGTTAGATCGGATTAGAGGAACTAAAGATCTAAATTTTGTTATTTAAGCCAGTAAAAGACCTAATTTATGTCTTTTTGATGCATGGGAATTGATTGTTTTAGTTTGCTATTGGAATTACTTGCACCTGTTAATTGTTTATGTAAGATTAACAATATGTTAAATTGAAATGAAAGTTTCCTTTTGGTTATCATTAGTGGCTGGAATCCGGAAAGTTGATTGAGAAATCGAAAGAAAGCTAAGAATTTATTTTTCTTTAATTGAGATGGATGATATGATATTTAAAGACATAACTGGTCATATTTTGTTTTAGTTTAATGATTTTTGGAGAGATGTATGAATTGGATTTGTTCTTACAGTTACTTATTTGGTAAAGTAGTTTGAAAGATGAAATTTCGGTTTTTGTATCATGATTTTGGGAGATATTAATCAATTTAATTTGTTCTTGGGAGTCACTTAACTGAAAAAAAATGTGTGAAAAGATAAATTGGGTTTTTTTTTTCAATGTTGACATTAATACAGGTGGTGCCAATGTCGACTCCTGCGAGGAAGAGGCTAATGAGGGATTTTAAGAGGTTGCAACAAGACCCACCTGCAGGCATCAGTGGAGCACCCCAAGACAACAATATTATGCTCTGGAATGCTGTGATATTCGGGTAAGAGCATAACAAAATGTGTACCAGTCTCTTTTGTGTTTGCTAATGTTATTTATTTTATTTCCTTCCATTTATCAGTATATTTGAATATGGTTGGGTAAGCAGTTTCTGGTTTCTTGTCTGATTTGGATTGCAGTCCTGATGATACTCCTTGGGATGGAGGTGAGTAATCCTGCTACTGAAGCTTTTACTGGAAGGCAATGTGTTAAATGGTTATTCCACTGTACTTTGCAATTTCTGCATATGCTTATGGAGATTGAAAGATTTGAAATGTCAGGGAGACTTTATGTTCTATTCTTGATTTTAGATGACTCTCTTGTGCTTATACTATTAAGTCTATCCCATGATAGTATTTCAGTTGCTTTGATTTGAGGATCTCAATGAGTGACTGCATTTCTGTTCATGTATGATGTTATTTAGTATTGATTATTGGCATGAAAAAAGCTATAATTAGCGCACAATGGAACAAATTAATTTTTCATTGACTTTTGTAATCATCTTTACCATATTAATTTGGTTTCTTTTTATTCTGCAAACTTCATATTAATTGAAATTTTCAGCATCATGCATAATATACCAGTTGCACTTCTGCACTTGTGTATTTTACTGTTTTTCAGACTGAAAATGAAAGGATACTCTGCCTCCTGTTCACTCTTATAAAATTAGTATTATCTTGGTTGCTTTCTTCATTGTTAAATGGCATGAAATAATGTTGTAGTTCAAATGTTATAGTTCTCTCAAATATATTTTTTCAGGATAAATTAGCTTCTTAAAGCATTGTCTGTGACTGGATGGTAGTATGCTTGTTGGTGCATCAGCTACATAAAAAATTATGTGGCATAGAGTTATTTTATATTTTCTGTAAAAATTCCAATCAAACTAATCCATAGGCAACACATGTAGTGCTACCAATAATTTGCAGTTGAGACTAAAAGTAGAATTGTAGTTTTGAACTCATACATGCATACAATCTTATGCATGTTGGATGCTAGAATTTACCTCAACTTTGCCATTTAAAGGTCACTCTGTATTTGGAAAAAGGAATACTTACATTAGCTGTTCAACAACTGCCCTGTTAAGCTTCTAAAATGAAACCCTTTGTTACACTAGGCTTAAGCTAATGGCTGAATTAAAGTGGAGTCAACTTAGGTCTGTTAAGAACGAAAGGACTGCAAAGTAGATAAGATTCAATCTTGCTAGTCATTGCCTATAATTAGAATTTGATGAAGCAAGGCATTAGCTAGGACAGTGGCAGCAGTTTTCATTTTAGGGAGGGATAGAATTATATGGCATTTTCCTGCAATCAGTGCTCGGGTTGTGCCCCCTTTCAGTATTATTGACAAAGCTTGAAAAGCTAATCCAGAAATTTGAGGCCAGGTTGAAAATATATTATTGATTGTCTGCTCATAACAGGTTATTTGTCATAGGGCAGGGATGTCCTGTTCATGACCTATTTGGAATTATTATGTCATTGAATAGAAAATGATCTTTATATATATTTGGTCGTTGGAAAAAAATTGAGTAAGTCTTTGGAAAAAAAATCCAGTAAAATCCTCAATCTGAAAATGTTTCTTTATTTATCCTAGCTCAATGTTGTTTACATCTACATTCAAAATATTTTTTTTTTTTTTTTTTTTGAGTTTTTCAGGTACATTCAAGTTGACTCTTCAGTTTACAGAGGATTATCCAAACAAACCCCCAACGGTTCGATTTGTTTCTCGAATGTTTCATCCAAATAGTAAGTCAACATGCTAATTGTCTTAATGTGTAAAGTTCTTACTGTTACTGTTTAAACCCCATTAGATTATTACATTATCATTTCTAACAATCCTGTTCACTCTGGTCAGTTTATGCTGATGGAAGTATTTGTTTGGATATTTTACAAAATCAATGGAGCCCTATATATGACGTAGCTGCTATACTCACATCTATCCAGGTTTGTGGAATATCTTTTTGCTATGTGTTTAATATTGCTTTTTGTTTGTATATTTACTAGTAGAGCAGGCACATATGCTATATAGGTTACAGTTTTTGCTCTTTGGTGTTAAAGAGAGAATGTAGCTGTACTGTCCAAATATTAATCTCTCATCTACTTATCAAAGAGAATATTAAGCTTTGATCTGCTTCTTTGTGCCTCGTTATTTGTACACTACAGGATCCTAACTTATCACTTACTCTGGTACACTGACTTGGGAGGATGTACCCAATAGAAAGTCCTTTTTCTCCTTTTTTCTTTTGTATCTTGGCCTTGCGACATTTCCACTAATAGTGTAGTAAATGAGAACAGAGGAACTTAGGGTCTCAAAGGATTATTTTCAAGTTTCAGTCTACTTCATTATGTATTATTTTGCTACTAATTGTGGTTGATCGTTACTTGTTGGTTGTAGTTTATACGTACATCTCCATTTTGTTACATATTACTTTATATACATTTTGGCAATAGTTATGCCATTTTCTTTAATGCCCAATCCATCTGGATAGACTATGGAAATGATCTGAATAATATTTGTACTTGTACATTAAGTTTAATCATTTGTCAGTGGATAGGTGATTATTGAAACTGCTTGACAGTACAAGACTTTTAGTGATACAAAGTTTTGGATCTCCACACTACATTAGTTTTTAATCTCTCTCTAGTAGTATTTTTTAGTGAACTTGTGGTGCATAGAAAGATGGAAGTAGGACAAACATCAGGTTTCATGATCAAATTCCTGCATAATGCAAAAATCTATTTAAGCAGAAGATAGATATTTAGTATGATGAAGTCACTTCCATTTTTGCAGTGAACTGATATAAACGCAGCTACATTCACCAAGCTGTTAGCAGATATCTAGCTTTTGAGTGTATTTCATTCAAGATATCCTCATTGAGCAAGAGAATTTATTTGATGACTGTCTGTCTATTTCTGAATGCAGTCATTGCTCTGCGATCCCAATCCGAATTCCCCTGCAAATTCTGAAGCTGCTCGGATGTTTAGTGAGAACAAGCGTGAGTACAACCGAAGAGTAAGGGAAATAGTGGAGCAGAGCTGGACAGCAGACTAGCTCTTCCTTGGGTGGAGTAATTCAAGTCTGAAGGTTTTGGGGCATGTTTTATTGACATTGCCATTTCATTATCCAATATCAGGAGTTGTTGAATTTATCCTGTATTTCTCATGTCAACCTTTCATATATGATGGGAGAGCTATTTGATCCATATTATAGTATGACTTTTCAGTGTGTTGTGTCTTTGATCTTTTGTAAAATAGAATTTTATGAATCAATTTGCAATGAATTTCTATGAACTGCCATCGTTTGATAAACAAGTTGTCTTTGACATTTCTTCTATGGGAGAGTAGTATGACTCTCAACAAGCTAATTCGATTTTGTGCGTGATTGCATATTATCCGCTTTCAAGCATGAACTCCGGATGGTAGGATGTTAGCTTTTTGGCTGCGTTGTAGCATTCCTGTTTTCCACAGTCAATCTGAAATTCACATCGTCTGCTATTCTTGGGCTCCTGCTGTAAAGGTCCAGCCAGATCTTAATTCTTAAAGGAGGGTTTTTTTCTTACTCTGTTCTTAACAAAAATGTTCGAATTTGTTTTTTCAGAATCAAGCTCCAGTCATGGATAACGTGCAGCTTCCAACTTGGCATATTAATATTTCGGTTAGATGATTGACTATATGTATGTTAATTAGTAGTTGATTAGAGCTGCCCCTCTTAAAACCCCAAATGATTCTTTGCGCTGTCACAAATATTTATCTGCTCAACTACAGGTGGTTGAGAAGTCATTGGCAGATAAAGTGGTATTGTTAATGATAGTTATATAAATGTAATGTTTAATGGAATTCTGCAGTATAGTTAGTTGGAACTTGGAAGTTTGTTTACTGTTGAGTCAAACTTTGGTTAGATGTTAACCAGAGTTAATTCTGTTGGGTTAGTCACTGTGTAAGTATAAAACACTGTACAACATAGAATTGATTACTCAATATACACGAAGACAGAATTTTCCCAAACTCTTCTCTTGAAACTGTCTATTTTACTCTTGAGCAGGATTTTTTTCAGCAATTTGATCAAAATTCGATCAATTAAACTCTTAATCTTCTTCTAATCTAGCTCGAAGGAGCTCAAATTTCAGTAATTCCTTCAATTTCAGCTCGAATCCCAACAAGATTAAGTATAGTCAACTATGGTAGAGGAATTAGTTGTGGCTATGATGGACTTGAATCACCTCTCTATGTTCACCCCCAGATACGCTTGGATCTGTTCTTGTATATGAACAACTCGTCGGAACGGCCAACTATGGAATTTGGAGCAGAGTGATGATTGTTTCTTTATGTGCCAAGAACAAGCTAGGGTTTGTTAATGGAGTTTATACGAAGTCTTCTGTGCATCCTAATTTGGTACCACAGTGGGAAAGATGCAACTCTCTAGATCTAGCTTGGATCTTTAACGGGATTGTCTATTCGTCCAATGCCGCCCAAGTTTGGCAGGACTTGAAAGAGCAGTATCATAAAGTCAATGGGACTAGAGTTTATGGAATTCACAAAGAAATTGTGAATCTTACACAAGGAACTAACACTATAGCAATCTATTTCAACAAACTCAAGTTGTTATGGGACGAGTTGGATTCTTTAGTAAGTCTACCCACTCCAGATAGCACTTTGGCTAAGCCATATCTTGAACATCTCAACCAACAGAAATTGCTACAATTTCTAATGGGTTTGAATGATTCATACTCAGTGGTTAGAAGTCAGATTTTATTGATGAATCACTTGCCAAGTGTTAAGCAAGCTTACTCCGTAGTTAACCAAGATGAAAGCCAGAGGGTTTTCGTTGGATTGAACACTAATTCGGAGGTTACTATAGCACTTTATGCTCAAAATAATGGTAAGAATTGGAATCAAGGGCAGAGGTATAAAGGAAAGAAACCCTATATTGAGTGCGAGTACTATCACCTTGGTGGGCATAAACGTGAAAATTATTAAAAATTGAATGGCTATTCAGTCGATTATCAATTTACGAAAGGAAAAAATGGTTCAAAAGCTAAATTTTTTGCTAATTAGGTGCAAGCATAGAACTCGGCTATGGAAGGTGTAGATGCAAAACCTGTCAATACATTAGTTGGTCCTGTTTTGACATCGGAGCAGTATAACCACATTTTGCAGTTGCTAGGAAAGGAGAATGTTAATCCTTTGGATTCCTTGGTTGCAAATCTGGCAGTTACTTTCAATAGTACTCATAATGCTCTATTTTCCTGTTTAAATAGTAATGCTTGGATTATAGATACAGAGTTTACTGATCATATGACATGTAGATGGTGTTTGTCTGAGTTTATAACTTGGTCAAACTAGCTTATAAGGTCTAAAATTAAGCTGAAAAAAAAAAGTTTGGGGGCAGATACTTTTTTTTTTTTGTAACTTATAAACACTCTGCTTATAAGCTAGTTTGACTAAGTATATTTCCACATTATCTTTATTAAATTTTAAAATTCCATCGTATAATTTATTAATTGATAAAATAATATAGTATTTTTTTAGTCATTTTATTAATAAAATGTACTTATAAGCCACATTTCATCAAACACGTAACTATTTATCAATCACTTATAAGTACTTTAACCAAATACGTAACTGCTTAAAATTTCAAATGCTTTTAAGCTCAAATTAGCTTATAAACACTAGCTGCTTATAAGCTAAGTTTCATAAGTTCAGCCAAACAGGCTTGTAATTACTCCATATTATAATCCCCTATTACCATAATGCCTTCCTCAAAATCACTTGTAGGATTACTCGATGGAACTAAAATTCACATTGCACATATAGGTTCTGTTATTTTGGATAATGGTATACATCTTTCAAAGGTCTTACATATACCAACCTTTAAACACAACCTACTTTCAGTCTCGAAATTTACAGTTTCTAATAACTATGTTATCAATTTTAACGTTGATTTTTGTCTAATTCAAGATCTTTACAGTCGCAAATTGAAGGGGATTAGTAAGCATAACCAATGCCTGTATTTTCTTGATCCAATGTCACAAAACTCTATATTGTCAAACGTAGATATATCAAATAAGGTTGTTTGTAGTGTTTTAAACAAATTTTCAGCAGTGTCTTCTTCAAACAATAATGTACCTTTCGATTTATAGTTGAATAAAAGTGTTGATTCACCTGGTCCTTTTATGTTTACCAATTGTTCTACTAATATTGAATTATGGCACCAAAGGTTAGGGCATGTTCCTTAAACAATTTTGCATCATATGAATTGACAATTAAATGTGTCTAGGCCTCCCGACTGCCATATTTGCCCATTAGCCAAACAAACCAGGGTTCCTTTTCCTCACACTCACCCAAATTCCAGCTGCATATTTGACCTATTACATGTTGATGTTTGGGGTCTATATAGGATACCAACACATGGAAATGCTTGGTATTTTCTTACCCTAGTGGATGATTATTCTAGAGTAACGTGGTTATTTTTAATGCAGTACAAACTGATGTGTTTAGTACCATCAAACATTTTCTTCAAATGGTGCATACCCAATACCATTTCACTCCCAAATGTATTAGGAGTGATAATGGTCTTGAATTCTTCTATAAAGCATGTCATGATCTATTTGCTAGCAAAGGGATTATACACCAGAGTTCATGTGCCTATTCCCCTCAACAAAATGGGATTGTTGAGAGGAAACATAGACATATTCTTGAAGTAGCTAGAGCTTTAAAGCTTCAATCTAACATGCCAAGTCAATTTTAGGGATATTGTGTGCAAACAACGGTGTATCTTATTAATAGGTTTCCTTCTTCTATTCTAAAAGGGTTATCTCCTTTTGAGAAATTTTTTGGTAAACCTCCTTCATTGGATCAATGAAAGTATTTGGTTGTTTGGCTTATGCTACTATCCTCACCTCTAAAGACAAGTTATCACCTATATCTAATCCTTGTGTGTTTTTGGGTCATTCCTTGACTCAAAAAGGATACTTGCTCTATAACCTTTCATCTCATAGTGTTATAGTTGCAAGAGATGTTATTTTTTATGAAACAATGTTTCCTTTCACTTGGTCCAAATCTACATAGCCACTTTTTCCCATTGATACAGATTTCTTTGATACTGAGTCCACTGCTTCTGTTATACCCATTTCTTATGATTCTTTACCTGTTGTCCAGAATTCAAAACCTATAGACTAGAATAATTCCCCTATTCATCAACAAAATTCAAACCCTACAGCACCTCATACTGCCTCTTTAAATGACCAGCATTATTCCCCTATTCCTTACCAGCATTTGACACCTATTAGAAGATCTAGTAGACCTACAAGACCCCTATTTGGACCACAAATTTCGTGTGTCCCTCTATCAAACCTTCATCTACTACCAGTTTTACATCATATCCTATTTCCAATTATGTGTCATATGATCATATTTCCCCTGCTTACAAAGCTTACTTAACAAATAAGCATTTGGTAGAACCTTCCACCTTTTCTTTAGCATCTCAAGATCCTAATTGGGTGGTTACAATGCAAAAAGAAATACAGGCTTTAAAGCTCAATAAAACCTCGTCTTTAGTCCCTTTACCCCTTGTTAAGACCCCAATTGGTTGTAAGTGGGTTGATAAGCTCAAGTATAGAGCTGATGGTTCTTTGGAAAGATATAAAGCTCGGCTTGTCGTTAAGGGATACACTCAAAAGGCTGGCATTGATACGATCCATCATACCAAGAAGCTTCTGCAGTCTAATTTTAAGCTGAAGGATTTTGGGATGCTAAAGTATTTTTGGGGTTTTGAGGTGGCTAGATCATGTAAAGGGATCAATTTGTGTCAAAGAAAATATGCTCTTGAGTTCATATCCGAATCTGGGTTATCTGGCTTTAAACCTTCTACAATTCCAATGGAGTCCACTTTGAAGTTAACATCTACTACTTATGATGAACTTTTTTCCTACTGACAATGATCCATTACTTGATGATCCCAACATCTATCAAAGGTTAGTAGGTAAGTTGTTATACTTATGCATGACAAGACCAAATTTGAGTTTTTCTATCAATCTATTAAGTCAGTTCATGCATAGCCCCAAGCAATCACACATGTATGCAACTCTCTTAAGGTAGTTAAATATATCAAGGCAGCTCTTGGTTTAGGTTTGTGTCTATTTTTCCCAGCTCATAATCATATAGATTTATATGCCTTTTGTGACTCTGATTGGGCATCTTGTCTCCTGACAAGGTAATTGGTTACAGGTTATTACATTTTCCTTAGTAAGTCCTTAATTTCATGGAAATCTAAAAGGTAGGCTACTATTTCCAAATCCTCCTTTGAAGCTAAGTATAGGGTCATGGCCTCTACTGTGTGTGAAATTCTTTGGCTCATACAACTTTTTACTGAACTTGGATTCACTAGTCTACCTCAGGTTCCCCTTTATTGTGATAACCAAGCTGCCAACTACATTACATCCAATCCCATCTTTCATGAAATGACCAAACACATCTACATTGATTGCCACATTGTGAGGGAACAACTCAAGCTAGGCCTGATCAAAACTACTTATGTTCCATCCTTAGAACAACCCGCTGATCTTTTAACTAAAGCTCTTGCAAGTCCTCTTCATTCAAAGTTACTATGCAAGTTGTGTGTTCTTGACCTCTTTCACTCTCCAACTTAAGGGGGGGTGTTAATGATAGTTATATAAATATAATGTTTGTAATGTTTAATGTAATTCTGCAGTAGAGTTAGTTGGAAGTTAGTTTACAGTTGAGTTAAACTTTGGTTAGATGTTAACCAGAGTTAATTCTGTTGGGTTAGTTACTGTATAGGTATAAAATACTGTAAAACTCAGAATTGATTACTCAATATACACGAAGACCGAATTTTCCCGAACTCTTCTCTTGAAACTGTCTACTCATTAAAGCATCCAAAATGTAAGAGACATAGTGAATCGAATCGATACAAGGCCAGGTAGAGGTATGTGGCGCGCAATGGCGGCAATCAAAGTTTCATTTGTTTTAATTTTCAAGGGCCACAGTTAAAACGATAGAACTTGTCTGCAACTATCAAAGTTGAAACCCTTTTGAATGGGGGTGGAGACTGGTGAGATAAACTTTGATTATTTGAACCCTAAATGCATATTTTAATCCACTATGCATTTGTCAAATGGGAATGTTGACAGTGACTTCAATTCAAAACGCGTAAGGTCAATTGCTCAACATATAAAATTGCTTGCTGTTATTAACTGGCTTGCACTTCCTTCCACTCGCACCAGTATTTCTTTCAATAAAGTAAGCAGGAAGGAATAAAAGACAAAGACAATCTCCTCCTATTCCTATTAACACCAGTAATGCTATCATCTCTCAACTGTAGATTTTTTTTAGGTTCAGGGATTGGGATATTCTGCTTCTTCTAAAAAGATGAATTATTCCATTACTCATATCACGACACACCACCTTATTCCTATTCCTTTTCAAACCCATGTTTTGTTGCAGTAGTAAAAGATTCTCGTATCCCACCTATCATCTTCCCTTTTCCAATATCTATCTTGTATTAGATTTTACATTTTAGATCAAAATAAATTTAATTATTTTTTTTATTTAATATCTAACATATCATAATCTTGGCATGTCAAATTATTATTACGTGTGTGATTAAACACACAGAGAGAGTGGGGGCGGCCTCTCAAAACACAAAAAACCAACCACAAAATATTAGCTTCATTCTTCTTCTTCTTCTTCTTCTTTCTCTTTCTCCATAGATTCTCTCTTTCTTTATTTTCTCTAGATTCTCTCTTTCTTTATTTTCTCTCCACTCACAGTCTCTCCCTCTGCTTCAATTTACCTAGCTTCCTCTTTCAGCTATCCCAACTTCTGTCATCATCTACGTACAGGTTAGTTTCTCTGTGTATTTCATTTTATTTTTTTGCTTCTTAACTTTTAGCTTGTTCGGTTAGATCGGATTAGACAATGGAAAGATCTAATTTTTGCTTGTTAAGCTAATTTAAAAAAAAAAAAAATATGGATTTTGTGGACTGCTTAGATGCATAAAATCTCGATTGTATGCACTGGGAATTACTTGCCACCATTTAACGCTATGGAAAGATTAAGCATATATATATATATTTTGTTTGATCGCTGGCTGAAATCCTAAATATAGACTGTGAAATGGACAGAAGGCTAAGGATTTTGTTTTCTCTTGCAAATAGAGTGGAAACTTTGCTTAATTGAGCTATATGATATGATCTCTTAATGTATAACTGGTTAATTTTGGTCTTTGTTTCATGATTCTGGGTAAGCTGTATGAATTGAATATGCTCTTAAGAGTTATCTGAAAAAAATTGTGTGAAAAGATGAATTGGATTTGTTTTAATTGTTGACTGTAATGAAGTTTGTAGGTGGTGCTGATGTCTACTCCTGCGAGGAAGAGGCTAATGAGAGATTTTAAGAGGTTGCAGCAGGATCCACCCGCTGGCATCAGTGGGGCACCCCAAGACAACAATATTATGCTCTGGAATGCTGTCATATTTGGGTGAGTGTAGAACAATATGTGAAACCAATCTCGTTTTGTGTTTTCTAAGTTTTTCATTTTAATTCAGTTCATTTATCATTATATTTGAGTATGGTTGGATAAGCAGTTTCTGGTTTCTTGCCTGATTTGGTTTGCAGCCCTGATGATACTCCATGGGACGGAGGTGAGTAATCCTGCTACTGAAGCTTTTACTGGAAGGGAAAGTGTTGAATAGTTTATTCCATTTTACTTTGTAGTGTCTGCATCTGCTCATGAGGATTGAAAGATTTGAAAATTCCAGGGTGACTTTGTATCATATTCTTGATAATTTTTTTAAACAGTTATGTTGTGCTTGTAATTAAGGCTATTCCATTACAGTATTTCATTTCGGATGATTTCAGGATCTCAATGATAGCTCCATTTCTGTTACTCTATAGTGGTATTTACTATTTAGTGAATTATTGTTATATGACAAAACCTGTAATTAAAACACAGAGGGACAACTTAATCTTCATTGAGTTTCATAATCACTTTTTACATTATTCACTTAGTTGCTTTTTTCTTATAAAAGTTGCATAATCTTTGAAATTTTCAGCATTCCACATAATTTGCACTTTTGCGCTTTCTTTTTTTACTGTTTTTGATACTGATTACTGAAAGGAGAGCATAACTCTACTTTCTGTTCATTCTTTATGAAATTGGTATTTTCAGGTGACTGTTTCATCTTATCTGTGATCTTCATTGTTAAAAGGCATGAATTAATATATTATCGTCGATGTTATAGGTTTCTGAAACATATTTTTGGGATCAGTCAGCTACTTTAAGCATTGTCCTTGACTAGATGGTAGTATGTGTATTGTGGATATGCTACTACATAAACTATGTGACATGAAGTGTTTTTTTATTTTATCCCCAACTAGAGAACATTCCACACCTCAGAAGAATGAAAACTGCAAACTAGAGAAAATTTTAATCTTGCTTGTCATTTTCTACGTCTAGGATTGATGAAGCAAGGCATTAGCTGGGAGCAGGTATAATTTAAGGATAGTAGGATTGATATTGCCTCTGTTCTTGTTATTGCTGCTTGGGTAGTGCCCCCTTGGAGTTTATTGATTCTTGAGAAATGCTAATCCAGAAATCTACTGTCAGATTGAAATATAATATTGATTGTCTGCTCATACCAGCTTATTTTGCTTAGCAAGTGATGTCTTTTTATGAGCTATTTGGAATCAGTTTGACTTTTAATAGGATAAGAAAAAAAAGGAAAAAAAAGGAAAAAAAAAAAACACATTATTGCTTTATTTGGCTTCAAAAAATTGTGTTTAATTTTGTTGTTCAATTTTCAATATGAAATTGTATGTTAATTGATCATAGCATACTAATAATGATGTTTACATCTACATAAAATGGATTTGTTTTTTTGAGTTCTTCAGGCACATTCAAGCTGACTCTTCAGTTTACAGAGGATTATCCAAACAAGCCCCCAACAGTGCGATTTGTTTCTCGAATGTTTCATCCAAATAGTAAGTCACTGTGAAATTTATGTTATTATTACTCTTTACTTCCCATAAGATTTTCTTTAATAATTCTAACTGAGCTGTTCATTTGATCAGTTTATGCTGATGGAAGTATATGTTTGGATATTTTACAAAACCAATGGAGTCCTATATATGATGTAGCTGCTATACTCACGTCTATCCAGGTCTGTTGAATAATTTGTTGCAATGTGTTTGATAATGCTTTTTGTTTACTGTATATAAGTAGCCGAGCAGTCACATATGCTATATATGTCACTTTTATGGTGCATTATATAACGGTTTTTGCCTTTCGTTTTAGGGAAAGATATTGGATTAGTACCCTTCCAAATATTATGCTTTATCAAAGAGAATATTAATCTTTAATATTCTTTTGTTAGGCATTAATTGCTCCATGAAGCCTTTACTACTAGGTTATTACACAGTAGTATTCAAGAAGGATATACCTAAAAATTCCTCTTAAGACGCAACATTTCTAATGATAGACTAGTGAAATGAACATAGCAACTTAAGGTGTCAAAGATATTTTTACTAGTCGCAAGCTTCTTGATATGTATATAGTATTTGAATATGTTTCCATTCAAGTTATATCTATTTGATGATTTTCCAATCAAGGATTTTTTTTTTTTTTTTTTTTGTAGTCATTGCTCTGTGATCCCAATCCAAACTCTCCTGCAAATTCAGAAGCTGCTCGGATGTTTAGTGAGAACAAGCGCGAGTACAACCGGAGAGTAAGGGAAATAGTGGAGCAGAGCTGGACAGCAGACTAGCCCCATGTGAAATTTTCAAAGGCATGTTTTAGTGAACATTGCCAATTCGTTACCTAATGTCTGGAGCTGTTGAACTTCTCCTGAATCTCTCATGTCATCTTTTCATAATATGAATGTTAGAACTATTTGATCGGTATTATACTATGACTGTTGTGTGTGGTGTGTATCTGTGCTTGTGTAAAATAGTATTTTATGCTTCAATTTGCGTTTAGTTTTCATGAAATGTCATGCATTCATATACAAGTGGTCTGATTTATTGCGAATTAGAGGAATTGCCACATCTTGAAGGAGAGATTAATAAGATGTTCAACAAGCTATTCATCATCAGAGCATAGTTGCATTTTGTATTCAGAGACATGAACTTACTGTGGTATGCTAAATTCTTGTATTCGGATTGTCCGTGATCATCCTACGAGTTCTGGAATTCAAATGTCTGCTCTTACCTGGTTCCTGCTATTTGGTTACAAGCATAACTTAACCTGGGTTTCTTAAGAAGTCTTCGACATTTACTTGTTCCTCATTGTTGATTCAAAATTTTTGAATTGCTGTTTTATGAATCAATCTCTCACTTGTAACAAGTGATAAGGATATTAAGATTTTGATTATTATGTTTATGTAAGATCTTAGACGTTTAACAAAATTTTCATAGAATTTTGAGAATCCAACAAAAAATGCTTTCTTGGCTTACCATCATTCATGGGGTTGTCTTAATGTGTGTTGATAAAGTGCATTAAAATAATCAAATATTTTGTCTGTGATATTATTACGTGTCCTAAGGGCATATGATAAGACAACCTTAATTCATATATGTTAATATTTCATTGTTCTAGTGTTTTTTAAGTCCCACATTAAGTGGGTTACTGTTATAAATAACTTTTCTCGTATTGAAATCTATCTTATGTCTAAGTGATCTCTGGATTGAGTATGAAGTTGATGAACTCAGTATAACTTATTATTTGAGTGATCTTTTGGATTGAGTACGAAGATCAGGAGCTCATTATAACTTAATTTTCACATTATGGCGTTTCAAATATTTCAAATTCATGGATTAGATCTAATTAGTAACATCGTTTGGGCTATTGGGTGAGATTATTTTACCTAGGGTTGTTAACCGAACTGAGCCGCTCACAAGAAGTTTAGGTTGGGCTCAGTTCGAGTCGAGCTAAAGCTCAAGCAGTTTGGGTCGACTCTAGTCGAGCCCAAGCCACCCAGTACTCAGCTTGAGCTACTCACGAACCTCCTTGAGCTCGAAAGGATATGCATGTTTTGAAAGTATGAGAGAGGTTTATGTAATTTACTATTTTGCATATAAAATTAAAAAAATTCCAGAAACCCTAACTTCATCCTCCAATTCACTTCTCTTTTCTTCTTCTTCACTTTCTCTCCCGCTTCAAGTCGACTTACATACTCCTCCTCTCTTCTTCTTTTTCCTTCTTCACCTTTCCTTTTTCTTCTCCATTTTCCTCCAATAAAGACCTATCACCAGAGAAAGATCCTAGAGGCACAAGTATTTTATCAAGATCGAGCTCGAGCTCAAGCTCAAACCCTGTTTTTTATATGAACAATACTACAGTTACCCAAGAATACGCACTGAATTCATGCACCGAATGACGTGGCACCATCCTGTTTTCTTGAAAAAAGAAATTCATAATTAATTGACAGTCAAGATGACGCCACGTCATTCGGTACATGAATTCGGTGCGCATTCTTCGGTAACTGTGGGTGCGTTTGGTTTCATATTTCTACCTATATTCCCAATCCTATTTCCCAAATATTGTTTGGTACATTATTTGAGAAATATTACTATATTTTTGTATTACTTTTAGACCCCTTAAGTTTATTAATTTCATAAATACCCCCAAAAAAGTTTAAAAATTAACAAAAACACCCCCACCGACCCATACTTGCCAGATTCTGGCAACCACCGTTGGTGGTAGCCGGAATCTATCACAACTGCCTACACCACAACCGGAACTGGCTGGTAATTCATCGATCTGGCCTTTTCTGGCCAGATCCACAGTAAGTCTGGCCGTCAACGACGACCAAATCTTGGCCATTGTTGACCGAAACGACGGCCATATCTTTGGCCATCACTAACGGCTAAAGATGGACTTTTGCGGCCATTGACGGCCACATCTGGCCGTAGATCTAGCCTTTTTTGGCTAGATCCGTGGTGGATCTGGTTGGAAAAGGCCATATCGACGCCATACCAGCTAGATCCGACCGGTATGTATCGTTACGCAATTTTTCGGCCAGATTCTGGCGGTGGTGGCTGGAATCTGGCACTGTGGGTGGTGGGGGTGTTTTTGTTATTTTACAAATTTTTTTATTTATTGGAGTATTTAGTTAAATTAGCAAACCTAGGGGTTTTTTTTATAAATTTTTAAATTTTACCTTGTAATACTCCCCTATTCAACTACCCAATATTATTCCTAAAATCATATCTAAAATAATAAAATAAACAGACCCTATATTATTTTCCTTTTTCTATTGATCTCAAGCTTGAGCTCTTCCTATTCATGTTGAGCCGAGCTCGAGCTCACCAAAACTCGGCTTGGCTTAGGTCGATACACCTTTTTATACCAAACTACAATTGTCTAAAAGCTAGAATGCCTTCTCAGCTACAGTTCATCCAAGTTTTAAGATACTTTATTTTGAGTGCATGGTAAGTCTGGCGGAGACATATGCTCTTAAGAATGGCCTATTCAACAAATTCAAATTAAAATCAGATATCAAAATCAAAATTTATCCATCATAATACAAACAAAGTTTAAAAAATTCAAAAACAATTTTACTCCATAATACTAGACACAATGTCAGTTTAATCATCCAAACACAATGCTACGGGCACCGGGACTATACACCGAATTCTTTTACCGAATTACGTGTCTCATGACTCAAACCAACCACATATAAATTTACCAAATATTTTCGAGTGAACGACCGTTCATCAACTATAGACGGTTGTTTACTTACGATGGACTCTCGTCCATATCATATGGACAAGAGTCCATTTACTATAGACAGGAGTCCACATAATATAGACACCCATTCATCAATAAATGAAAAAAACATATTAACAAAAATAATGGACGATCGTTCATATGTTATGGACCATCGTCCCTAAATAATAGACGGGCGTCCACATACAATGGACATCCGTCCATACTTGAAATAAAATACCGAAATGCCGGAACGCCGTCCCTACTTTGCGGTATATTATTTCAAGTATGGACAGTGGACGCTTCTCCATTAGTTTGGGAAAAGGCATCAGCTTTTCAAGTAATACGCCTTCTCTTCTTGCCTTTCCTTGGTCATCTGATAACGGTAAAACTACCAACCTAACACTCTATATCCAATCTTCTTGTGTTTTATTTTTAATCACTTTTGGGAATTTTTCTTTTCTCTTTTTTCTTTTAGGAAGCTCTGAGGCGGGTTCTTCAGGGCAAATGGCAAGAGGATTTGATGTGAACAAATTCCCTTTAGTTGAAGAAGCAGAAGACGGTGGTGCTTTATCTTCTTCACCTAACAACAGCGCGGCATCTTCGTTCCAGATGGATTTTTGTATGTACAGTGGAGGGCATAAGAAAGATTTTGGTAATGGTAATGAAACGGAGGGTGAGAGAGGTTCTTCAAGATTTAGTGATGAAGATGAGAATGGTTGCACTAGAAAGAAACTCAGGCTTTCTAAAGAGCAATCTGCTTTTCTCGAAGAAAGCTTTAAAGAACACAATACTTTTAATCCTGTAAGTAAAGTTTCAACTATTCATAATCTTTTATGAGGTTTTGATGATATATATTTAATTTGTTGGATGACGATGCAGAAACAAAAGCTTGCCCTTGCAAAGCAACTTAATCTTCGTCCACGCCAAGTAGAAGTTTGGTTTCAGAATAGAAGAGCAAGGCATTCATTAATAATTTTGATTAAGCTGTGAAGGCAATAGAAATGGTTTAAAACTGGATGGGTTGATTTTAATAAAATGATTGGTTTGTTCGGGACTAAATTGAAGCAAACTGAGGTGGATTGTGAGTATTTGACGAGATGCTGTGAAACATTAACCGAAGATGAACGTCCGTCCATTAATTTCAGCCATAAATTTTATTATTTAAAGTTTGGCCAAACGTTTATTATATATGGTTTTTTTTATTTACTAATGAATAGGGGTCTTCTAAATGTAGACTCTCATCCATATTATATGAACGGAAGTTCATCGTAAGTGAACGGCTGTCCATAATTGATGAATGATTGTTTACTAACAAAATATTTATGAATGTGAAACGTGACTGATGTGAGTCATGGGACACATAATTTGGTGAACAGTCCTGTAACATTATTGTTGTCTAAAAGCTAGATTGCCTTCTCAGCTACATTTCATTCAAGTTTTAAGATACTTTATTTTGAGTGCATGGTAAGTCTGGCAGAGATATATGTTCTTAAGAATAGCCTATTCAACAAATTCAAATTAAAATCAGATATCAAAATCAAAATTTATCCATCACAATACAAACAAAGTCTAAAAATTCAAAAACAATTTTACTCCATAATACTAGACACAATGTCAGTTTAATCATCCAAACACAAATAAATAAAATTTTCAATTACTTCACACCACAACCTTTAACACTCCCTATACAATAGAAAACACCGACAACCAAACACTGAAGAAACTCTAAAATTGTATGCAATGATATGATCCGGCGTTTCTGGATTAAAATGTCTGCCGATATCACTCACTCAGACACGGATATCTTCCACTGGCGTCGAATCCTGCACTAGACACAGTGACGAAAATTATCAAAATCTAGCAAGTAAATATCAAAACATAACAAGTTAACTCGTGGAAGCTTAGTACTTACCATGTTTTCTTTGTTCTCTTCAACTTTGTCCCCTGAAAGTGAAGGACTAACCGGACCTGTAAATAAAAATTATATCTTCAAAATGTTAGGTCACCCTCAAAGTAATTACAAATACTGTACAGGAAATAACATTGTATACTTGCCTTCTTCCCCAGTAGATTTCTTTCCTTGTTTAATACTGTCCTTCCCTTTATTGGTCTCTGGTTTAGTTGGCTTCTGCGGCTTCTTCTGTATCTTACCATTTCCTGTCTCTGGAACTGATCTTGTATTAGCAGAATTCCTACTCAAAGATGCCCTGGTCCTGGTTGAAGGATAGTTCTTTGTGGTAGCCTCCTTCTTGGCTGATACAGTGACCGAGGAAACTTGAGCAGTATCATTATTCAAGGACTTCGGTTTTAGTTTCCTATTTCCGATTGTAGAAGAAGAGCTGAGAACCTCATCATCAGATGACCGACTTCCCTCTTCGGGCACCTGAGAAAAGGTTTCAGAGACTTGCAATTGCTCTGAAGTTCCTGTTATATTATAGCTCTCAAATAATTCTTTAACAAGTTCTTCAAGTTCACCAAGGTTATGACGACGAGCATATGATTTGAGTTCATCCCGCATTCGCTGAAGAGGCTATTAGAAGGGATGAAAAACAAATGGTGAAAATCATCTCTTACATAAAACTTTGTTAGCCTAACTTTTCATTTACTAACAACATGCAAAAGCAACTAATTGAAACTATTGTGTGCAAGAAAGATATCGGCAATAATCCAACTAAACCTCATGATTTAGACAACAAATTATACATCTAAATTGGCATACCTCACATCCAGCTTCCAAGGCAAGTTTGAAAAACCCAAGTGAAATTGAGTGCCTAGCCTCAGATTCAGATTGCTTAATCTGTCTAAGCCAATATGACGCTGATGACAGAAGACTAAACTTCTTTCTGCTTGATGCTCTGGAAACATCAGATAGAGGTGTTTCGCTTCTCCCCTGAGTATTAACCGATCTCTTAGTTCTAGTTTCGGAAATTGGAGTGATGTTGCCAACTGATTTTGGAACTGAACCCACTGTCGACTTGGCAGGAATAGAAAGCCTTCTAGGTGGCTTAGCAGACTTTTCTTTGCCAGACAGATCAAGAACACTCACACTTTTACTTATGGTTGATGCAGTTCTTCCCCTGAAAAAACATTAAGTTCAATACAGATTCAAAGTTAGCAATGAATAGTAAAATTCTGGCCGAAGAGTATTACGATACCAAATTTTAGGTTTTAAATCAGATATAAGAATCTAAGATTTATTCAAAACTCGGTTATCATTTCAGTTGAAGCAAAAGAATGGTCAATCTTCTTACAATTTTGATCACCAAAGTTTACTATTGACAAAGAATTTCAGAGGATAATTAAATTCCCAGAAAATAACACTATAATTTCTCTGAAAACATGTAAAAATCACATACAAGCTGCCCAACTATTTTTCTAAGCCAACTTTGTTAAATTCGTTATAAAACAATACTCAACTATATATTTCGTCTCCATAATAATATCTGCATCTAAACAAACCAAAAGAAACTAGGAAGTAAATGAAATAAACCTCCTGGTGACAGAAGAATTCGAAGATTCAACCACTGGCGCCTTCTCCTCCTTCGATTTGGCCGCCGATCGGAGCGGATACCTCAGCTTCGACTTCGTTGTATTCACTGTAACATTTCAATAACATAAAATTTCATGAAGAAAATTAAAATAAATACCTAGAAAATTATATCTAATATATAAAGATTCTTACCACTAACAACGGTAAGTTCTTCTCTCAAGGTTTCGGCCATGATTTCAATATACTTTAATTTCAGAATTTCTCGTGAAACTTGTGACCGTTTTGATGACTATGGCAGAACTGATAACAGACTGGAATTTATAAAAGGAGAGAGAAGCTGTTCTTTTGCCGTTTGTCCATTGGGCGGGAAAATTTAGGAACCACCTCATCTTTGTCAAACTCAAAACATATTCTCACCACTTCCCTTCCCGTACTGAATTGTTTTACTCGCTTCATTTAGTTGACACGTTTCATATTTGTGTTCCTCTAAGTTAGGTTCATGGTTTCTGTTGACGTGTAATAATTTCATTGGTTTGTGAATTGTTTTCTATGGTTTTGAGATGTCGGACTTGGTCCTCCAAACGGGTGGAATAAACAAACGGGTCTGGATGATGATTGAGGCGAACTTTTGAACGGCTGGGCGCTGCATGGGACCTACTTCATGACCTGTAAACGCTCGATGATTTAAATTTTGAATTTCAAATCTTGAGCCGTTGAAACTGCTTTACGGTTAAGATGGGACATTGTCTTTGTCTACTTGCTTGAGTGGACCAAACACGTGCTTCACTAGCCCTTGGGCCCCCACGTGATGGGTTCTAAGGCCCATACAGCCAAGCAGTTTGGGCTCCATCCTAAAATAATTCTTCGAGAATATGTAAATAGTGAAGAATAAATCTCATTGGTGCGTTTGTTTTGTTATTTTGAATAGGATTTTGAGAATAACATTGGGTAGTTGAATAGGGTGAATATTACAAGGTAAAATTTAAAATTTAACAAAAAAACCGTCTAGGTTTGTTAATTTAACTAAACATCCCAATATATAAAAATTTTGTAAAATAACAAAAACACCCCCATCCACCACAGTGCTAGATTATGGCCACCACCATCGGAATCTGATCGAAATCTGCCGTTATGACACAGGTCGATCGCATGTGGCTGGTGGTGTGTCGATCTGGCCTTTTTCGACGGTCAGATCTAGCCGTCGACGGTCACAAAAGACCAGATTTGGCCATCAAAGATGGCCAAAGATATGGCCGTCATTGACAGTCAACAACAACCAACTCTTGGTCGTCTCTGATCGTCAACAACGGTCATTTCTTTGGTCGTCGCTGACGGCCATATCGGTGAATAAACGACCAGTTTCGATCGTTTTTAAGCCATTATGGACAGATTTTGGCCACCATCGACTATGGTTGCCAGAATCTAGCAACAGTCAACGACAACCAACTCTGGTCGTCTTGACGTCAACAACGGTCATTTCTTTAGTCGTCGCTGACGGCTATATCGGTGAATAAACGACCAGTTTCGATCGTTTTTAAGCCATTATGACAGATTCCGGCCACCATCGACTATGGTGCGCAGAATCTAGCAAACTATGGGTATGTGAGGTTGTTTTTAATTTTTAAACTTTTTTTTCTAAGGGTGTTAATTAAGTTAATAAACTTAAAGAGTCTAAAAGTAATTAAAAAAAAGAATAATATTTTTTAAATAATTAAACAAACAGGTATTTTAAAAAATGGATTGAAATAATAAAACAAACAACCCATAATTATTCTGGTACAAATGGACAACTTTAAAGCATGATTAATTAAAATGAAATGCAAAGAAAAAGTGTCCCGGATTGTCTTTTCTTGATGGATTTGATGTGATTATTTGGAAGGTATAATAGTGAGTGGAATATAAGACATCATTTGGTTACTTTTAATGAGGATGAGTTAATAACTTAACCCTAGAGGTATTTAAAATAAATAATAAAAATTTCCAGTTGTCAAGTTTAAGATGTTTAAATAAATGATAACAGAATAATTTGGTAAATAAATAAAAAGCATTACATATATAATAGAAAAGGAAAGAAATTATCAGTTGACTGTTTGATGTCATATTAAAGGGCATGGTATGGTGATGTTTACATATTTGTTTCCATATACACAAAATGTGTTTGTTTGAAAATAAAGTAATGGGTAGGTGTGAAGAACTTCATTCTTAAACTTTATAAAGTGTCAATGTCTTGGAATTTATCTTATATCTCAACACTCTCCAAAGCATCAATGAAATGTTTGGTGGGATTTCCCATCCATCATGGTAATTCCAAAACGGTTAGCGGCCAAACCAATCCCCTCAAGATTTTTTTTTTTTTAATTTTTGTATGATTGGGTACATAGACCAACTAATGTAAACTTCAACTAATCTATCGAAATTTTTAAATTATCAATTGGATAAAACTTTAGTGATCAACGAAAAATCTTTATTGAACAATGGATCACTTAAGGATTGGTTGTAATAAGTTTGTATATTATCATTATGGTTTAATATATTTGTTTAAATTATAATGAAATAATAATAATGAGGAAGCATAACTAAAGGTTCAGCGATCAATTAAGACTTTTGAATGTATTATCCAAAAGGTTTTAAATTCGATTAATTTGAATTGTTAATAGAAATACCATTAAATTATCAGATAAATTTATTCTTACGGTAACTTTGGTACTGTAAATAAGCTGTCCAACACCATCAGTAAATATAATAATAATAATAATAATAATAAGAATAATAATAATAAATGAGTTATATGGCTAATTAATACCTACTCTTAATTAGCTTTTGCAGTTGCAGCTTTGATATTCGTTGATACTACAGGAGTCATGATGACTGGGTTCACAGACTCGTAGCCGTGTGGCAGTTTGACAGCAGTCTTTTTACAATTTTACTCTTGTTTTGTCTCACGGTCACGGCACCAGTAATTCCAGCGTGTCACTCATGCACCATCTGACAACGTCTCCCACTTTCCAATACTATCCTTTATTTCCACGCGCTCCTGATACCCATGTCCGTGACTCTACCGCCACAAATCAGCCGCTAAATTTCTCACACACTCTCACTCGCAACTCTCCTTCTGGTTTCTGGTAAGAGGACACAAGAGTAATTCAACAATGCTTCTGCTTAAAATAAAGAAGCTGGACACTTGTACACAAAGTAACTGCCATTGGGACACCCAACACCACCTCTTTAAAACACAGCTATTATTCCATGCACTCGACCTCATGATAGAACCTTTTAATCCAAAGGTCAAAACTTCATTGACCAATTATCACACGGCTATAACTTATAAGTGGCGTCTCTTATAATGGAATCACTTCTAGCATAACACAACTGTTTATTTTATCTAAATTTTTCAAATTCAGTCATTTTTTGCACTATCAGTGCACAGAACACAGAGCAAGCAAAGCAAAGCAGAAAAAAATCGATGAAGCTTTATTTCTTATTTCCTTGATTCCCAAGCTCAGTGATTCGCACACTCATGGTACATTTCCTTTTATTTTTCTATAAATCTTTTTTCATTCTCTTCTTCTCACGCCTGAACTAATTTATTTATTTATTTATCTTTTCGAAAAATATCTGAGTATGCTTTTCTGGGGGTTTTATTTTTTAGCACAGGAATGGTAGATTTGAAAGTTGGAAGAGCCACATTTGTCTGGTAACTTTCAGATCTAGTGCAAATCCAGCTTATACGTGTTAATTTAGTGATTATTTTGCTTTTGTTCTCGTGTAGCATTTTGTGGTTCTTTCTCCGTGGCAGATCACGAAGTTAAGCTTTCTAAAGTAAGTAATTTGTGCTTGAATTCTCAGATTTTGCTTTCTCTTTGATTGCTTGTTCGTTATCTTTGAATATTATGGTCTTGAATAAACTAGATCACTGTGTTTTACTTAATTTCTTTTTCAAATCTAACGTTGCTTCACTGCAATCATGTTGCCGCCACTTTAAAACATAGATTAATTTTTCAAAGCATTAGCTGTAAAATATTGGAATTGAGATTTTGACTTACTTTACTTAAACTGTTTATAACATGTAATAATTAATAATTTTAGTCAAAATTAAGATAAAATACACTGTATTGCATTTATATTTTAAAATTTAATTGTAATGATTAGTAGTGCACTGTACTGTTAGATTGTTAGTAATAACCAGAAATAGTGCATTATTATACGCATAGAAGTATATGGACCAAATAAGTATCAAACTTTTGTGTTGTTGGCATTGCAAGAAGGTTTGCAACTTGTAGTAATTGAACTTGGCTTCCTTACCCAAAATTTATCTCATTAGTAATGTTGAATTTGAATTACTTTACTGAAAATGTAGTATTGGAGCCAGTAGTTTCTGACATTTATACTGAGAGATGATCTTTGATAAAAAAACAACATGAACCAAAATTACTTCCACATGCCCCTTTGAGTTTAGGAAGAACAACTGAAAAGAGTAAATGTTGTATTCATACATGGTTCAAATACTTCTGATGGATTTCTGTTTCCTGTATTGCATGATACCGTTTTGGTTGTACATGATTTCTTAGAATTACATTGATGGATGGACAAGCTAACATACCTTGAATGATGCAGGAAGTGGGATTGAAGTTTGAGCTACTAAAAGTTCTTGTCTTCCAGCTATGGGAAAATCACCTGGAAAATGGATCAAGACTATACTTTTTGGCAAGAGATCTTCTAAATCTCATACTTCAAAAGGAAGGGAGGTAAATATGAAGCTGCAAATATGCTTGAAACTTTCTAAAACAGCATTTTAAATTATTAATGCAACAACGAGTTTCTATTTAAAGATTATTACTTGTGACATGAGTATTTTCGCTCTAGTCTTCATAATTTTAAACTTCCACCAGACTATTGGTATGGTACTTTTTTGGAATAAAACTAGACAGTTAAATTTTCACAGTAGATTGCAGCTTGAATAAGGTCAGCTATTATATTGGTCCTAACATCACTGTATTATGCTTTGATGGTATGAAGTTGATGTTGCCTGAGTCCTAAAATCATTACTTAGATGTACCTAAAACCAGCTATACAAGATTCATTTACCTATGGTTTTAGGATGCTAGGAATTAGTTATAGCTTAAATTACATAATTGCTTTTGGGTAATTTAGAACACACTTAATTTTTGTGGCCACACCTTCATCACTAGGAAATTGCTGCATGTGCTCATACTAGCAAATTTAGTACGTTTTCATTTTGTTGGAGATCCCATATCGATTAGACACACTCAAGCCAATGGGTTTATAAGAGTGGACAATCCTCCTATTCAATAAGGCCTATTGGGTGAGGAGTTAGGCCCAACTCAAACACATTTATCATATGGTCAGTATTAGTCATCTGCTTTGAAGCACTTGCTTGAATTAGACAAGTTTATATTTTAGATACATATGTTATCGTTATCATTATCATTAACTTTGGTAATATGGGTTTATTTATTTATTTCTAACAGAAAGTTGCGAATGAAAAAGAGGTTTTGGTTTCTGTCAAGGCAACAGACACTGATGATAATTTGAATCTTCCTTTGGCTTCTCATCCAACCACATATACCACTCATCAAAATGAAAGGAATTTAGTTTTGGAAAACAAGGAAGCTGCAGATATGCCACATGATGGGGCAATATCGTTGCCTGGGAGTCAAGCTGCAGATTCACAAGATTTCACACCACAAGATGAACCATATGATCCTGAGAAAATCAGGCTAGAGCAAGCTGCAACAAAGACGCAGGCTGCTTTCAGGGGTTATTTGGTAATCTTCTTACTTTGTGAATGTATTCAGGGGCTAGTACACTCTCACAAACTGGCTTTGATTTTCTGTCTTTGTACACTGAATAGACTCTTGACAATGTATAGCTTTGATCTTATTAAGTATGTTAGATTTTGTTTTATGGACATAATTATGTTTTTGATATTATGTCTATACTAACATAAGCTTATGCTATGAAGGCCCGCCGAGCATTTCGGGCTCTCAAAGGCATAATAAGGTTGCAGGCTCTCATTCGGGGACACCTGGTTAGGAGACAAGCAGTTGCTACTTTGTGCTCTATGCTAGGGATTGTGAAGTTACAGGCACTTGCTCGTGGCAGAAAGGTTAGGCATTCCGATAGTGGACTTGAAGTGAACAGAAAGTGCAATCTAGTGAAGCTTTTGGTAATTTCTTAAGTCCACAGTAAATTGGAAACTTTTAATCATAGTTCATCTTCTCTTATTTAACTTGATGAAGAGATTCATTTAATCAATTAAATACATATTTGTCTGAGTTTAATTGATTTGTATTGTGTAATTGCTCTTTTATTATTATTCTTTTGCAATGTGGTTGGGGTTGCAGCACATTCAGGATAGTGGGAGCCCACAGTTAGATGGTTTATACAAATAGACTTGCTGCAATCATTGTAATTGGTTTATAAGACCATTGATCAACGTCACCCAAAGTCCAGTGTTTCAGTATCATCTCAGTACCTAATGTCTGCCCCACAAATGTCTATGATTGAACCTGTTCATTATTTGGTTGTGAATCTTCTCTTCAAGAGTCACCCTATGCTGGACATAATGTTTTAAGATACCATGAGTTTGGGACCTTGGGTACATATACTACTTTGAGATATGGTGTAATTTTCTGATCTTTTTAGGGTAGTTAACTTCTAGATTTCCTCTATTATGATGCCATTTCCAATCTCAAAAAGTATTGGTAGTGTACATTTGGAAGACATCTCACGTATACAGATTCAAGACATTATTAAACTTCCTGAATTTCTACATGCCCTGGTTTATCTCTAATTATTTATTGTCTTTTTCTTTTTTATGTTTTATCCATCAGGAAGGCAAGCCTGTGAAGTCTGTTGGAGTTAATTTGTCTATACGAATGAGAAAGCTTTCAACAAATGCTTTTGTCTCTAAGGTATGCTTATAGTCATGTCATACCTCTCTGTGTTGCTATAATATTTATTTATTTCGAATAAGCAATAGTTTGGGTTACCATGTCTTTGTGCCGTATCATTTAAGGCGACCTAAATGGGTGCCTCCAGCATATTGATGTGCAAGTAGGTCTTTTTAAACTAAATAAAGAAAAACTAACTTCTAGTTTGAATTCCGCATCCACTGTATTGGTGATCACTAATACTCCAGTGTTAGCTATTCAGGGGATTTATTTGCTATTTTTTATTTAATCTTCACCCACGTTCATTTTTTTATACTGGAAAAATGATTGCTGAATTTGTTGATTTAGCTGCTCGCTCCATCACCTACCGTGATGCCTTTGCGCCTCCAATATGAGCCTGAGGAGCCAAATTCAGTCTCAAACTGGTTAAAACGCTGGTCAGCATCTCAGTTCTGGAAACCAGCTCCCCAACCAAAGAAAGCATCAGGGTCAAAAACTCAGAAGAAGCAGGTTAATTCTCAAACCATTGATGCTGAAACAGGCCGACCAAAACGAAGTGTCCGAAGGGTTCCTGCTACAAACGCTGAGAATATCTCATTGCAGTCAACCCCTGAATTTGAGAAATCCAAACGTAGTCTGAAGAAAGTTACAAGTCATCAAGCAGATCCAGTGCATGAAAATCCACAAAATGAACTTGAAAAGGTTAAGCGTAGCTTGAGAAAGGTTCATAGCCCTGTTGTGGAGACTTCTGTTTCTGTGCAGTCAGAGTTTGAATTTGAGAAGCCAAAGGTAAGTATGGAAAAGGTATCAGGTACTTTAAGTCATGAAATTTTAGAACAGAGCATGGGTTCTTCAGGTGAGAAGATGAAGAAAGAGACGCCTTTGACACCATCCAAACTACCTGATGTAGAATCTACTCCAGAACCAGTTGAAATGAAGGAGACATCTGATTTACCTTCTGGTGATCAAATTGTGGTTGAGTCAAAGCCTTTGATAGACAATGGTGGAAAAGATGAGATTATTCCTGTACCAAATGGTGAGCTTAATTTAAAGGATGATTTGGTAAACAATGAGAATCACAAACCAAGCAGGAAAGCTTCTACTCCGGCAAAGCAAGAACGTGCCGAGAATGGGTTGCAAAACAGTCCAACACTGCCAAGCTATATGGCGGCAACTGAATCTGCAAAGGCAAAGCTGAGACTACAAGGCTCCCCTAGGTCTGGCCAAGATGGAGCTGACAGAATTAGTGCCACTCGACGGCAATCACTGCCATCTTCAACTAATAGCAAAATCAGCTCACAGTCACCAAGGACGCAGAGACCTGTTAATGCTGGCAGCAAAGGTGGTCATAAAGGCGACAAAAATCACTCATCATCGAAAGATGGAAATGGTATGAAATTTTAGCGTTCAGTAGAATTACTGGTGGTTTTTTGGTCAAGGATTGGCTTGAAACCTGCATATATTTGTTTCCATTATAATCTCAAGACTATTCTCTTTCCCTTTTTTTTTTTTTTTTTCAAGATTTTACTAATCATACTCCTTGGTGGTTGGGTTTTGCAGCAAAAGTAAGCCAGGAGTGGAAAAGGTGAGTTTCTGGAAAAATCTGATTTCCAGGATTTAGTGTAAGGGGCTACAATTGACCTGCAGTTTTTCATTAATTATCTGTCGTGTACGATTATACTGTAAAAGTGAGATTGAGTCTATAACTGGAGGTGTGTGTGGTGGCCGAGAGAGACTTAAAAAAAATTGTGATTTGGGGTGTTTTTGATTTTTGTACATCATAGGTTTTGAAGTTATTTCCTGCTTGCAACTATACATCAATTCATGAACTGTGGTTGGTTGACTTGGTATTTGGTTGTTCATAGTGTGATTGTATACTACTTCCACTTCCAATTTCACATTTGTTCTTGTTTTCCCCTTTGGCAGAGCTGAATTTATTCATATTAGTTTATCCTAATTTTATTGATAGCTTGTAAATATTAGCACCAACACAATGATATTCCTTAAATGCCTCTATGTAATAAAGATGAAAATCCAAGTACGTATATAGTTTCAACACCTTATATTTACACTCAGTCGACCTTAAACCTCTGTTTTAAAACCCGGACTGGATCGGATTGTTCGGTCCAACCGGTTTGATCGGGAGTTGGCCTTTACTCTGGTCCGAGTTAACTTAAAAATCGAGAATGTCATTAAATCCACTTTAGACTAGCAATGGACTGGTGAAACAGTACAAAACCATTGGTCCGACTGGCCCGGGGCTTAAAATTGTTTGCTATTTTTGGGTATTTGATCTTAAAAAATTCATCTTCCTAATTCGTAAACCAATTTGTAGCACTGTTTCATTCTCTATTTCATTTGAATAAAAAACCAAATTGCATCTTTCATTTTCATATTCTATTCTTCTTCATTTACTCTAAAATTTAGTGTAAAAAAGAAGTAAGGGGAGGGGAAGGAAGAAGGAAGAGAAGATGAGACAAGAGAAGTGTAAAGAAGAAGAAGTAAGGGGAGGGGAGGGGAAAGAAGAAGAAAGAGAAGAGGAGACAAGAGAAAGAGTAAGGAAGAAGATTAGAAGAAAGAAAAGAGGAGATGAAGAGAAAGAGAAGGAAGAAGAAAGAAGAAAGAAGAAAGAGAAGAGGATAGAAAAAATACAGTAGAGAGACGTGAATGTGTTAGAAGAAAGAAAGAAGAAAGTGATGGGGAGTGATTGAGAGAGAGAAAAAAGGAGAAAGAAGAAAGTGATGGGGAGTGATGGCCAGATGGGTAGAGAGAAAAAAAGGAAAAAGATGGAAGTAACGGGGAGAGAGAAAAAAATAATTAATAATAAAATCTGTAGGGTACATTTGCTTTATTTTAAACTTATAGGGGTTTAAAAGTAAATTTTAGGGATGTATTTGCTGGTTTTCAAACTTATAACAATTAATGGAATTGTTTAAAGATGTGATTCCTATATACTGTCAGACCGACTGGTTCAATCGGTTGGACTGGTCAACCAACAAACCGGTCCCTTGACTGGGTCAACGAGCAGTTCGATTTTTAAAACAATGCCTTAAACTCAATCCACTTTGGTTATGGTTCAAAATGCCAATGTCTAAAAGAATTGCATCCTTCAACCTGATCTTTTCTCAACTGTGCAATTCTCTATATGATCGAGAAATTCTTTATTAGGTTGAAATATTTTTATTTGATACCACCAGATCCAAAATTTTGTACCAGTCAAGAAATTCCCTACCTTCCAAATAAATTCTCCATGATTGCAAAGCTAACATGGCACCAACTCATCACATGATTTAATCATTGTAAATAAAATTTCTATTATAACTCTTTTTGCCCTTGTATAAATAGGGCAAGTTTTTACCTCCTATTTGTTTTTCCAACTAGGGAACTTGGTCTTGTTTGTTGTTGACGACTGGCTTTGCACAAATCATAAAAAGATTTATTTATTTTTTAATTTTACTTAGAAGAAGAAAAGAGGAGATTTATAATAAACCTCACAAAATGCAGTCTTCATTTTCCAGTCTATCAATTGTGCTTATACTAATTTGTCTCTGTCGCATCTCCCAAACGACGTTGAACCTGTGCTACATATGAGAAACTATGCCAGATTGGGTTGCATATACCATTCACAGAGAGTTGTATAGCCTGATGAAAACAACCCCACATTTGGTGTCATTCTTTGAAAAACGATGGGTTTGCCACGTCGTGGCCTCTCTTTGCAACTTGCAGAGTCATTTTGTGAGAAACGATAGGGCTATTGCGTCGTGACATATTTGTGCACCTAAAGTGGTTGCGCCATACGTCGGATCGTATTCTAGTTTCAAACACCGACACAAATGTTGATCATATTCCACAGTCGTAAACTTCAAATGTGGATCAAAAGGGACCAATGCTGGCTTGGCAGTAGCCAGCCCTGATTCAGCTATCAACTCCAAAACATACTTCCTTTGACACAAGCTAATCCCTTTGGAAGACCTTGCAACTTCAAAGCCTAAAAAATACCTAAGAGCTCCCAAATCTTTTAACTTAAAATGAGAATGTAGCAAGTCTTTAGTAGCTTGAATAAGAGTAGAATCATTCCCAGTAATGACTAAATCATCTTCATAGATGAGTAGGATAAGCTTGATCCTTCTTAAAGAAAAATGAGTGGTGTGAAGGTGACTATTGGAAGCCGTCCAGCAATAATGCAGCAATAAATTTAGTATTCTAAGCTATGGAAGCCTGTTTCAAGCCATACAAAGACTTATGAAGTTTACAAATTAGGGACTTGTCATGTTGATTAGGAAAACCTTGGGGTAAATGCATGTAAATCTCCTCTTGGAGATCTCCTTGGAGAAAAGCATTATCTACATCCAGATGATAAAGTGACCAATTTCTCATGGAAGCAATAGCCAAAACAAGCCTTACAATCACTATCTTAACTACCCGAGAGAATGTCTCCTCATAATCAATCCCAGCTTGTTGGGTAAACTCCTTGACAACTAACTTTGCCTTGTACCTTTCCAAAGTGCCATCTGCCTTATATTTTAGCTTATAAACCTATTTGCACTCGATTGGTTTTTGCCAGGAGGCAAGGTAACTAAAGACAAAGTCCCATTTCTTTCCAAAGCTTGAATTTCCTGTTGCATAGCAACAACCTAGTGGGGATCTTTTGATGCTTGGGTGAATGAGGTGGGTTCAATAAGGTTAGAGATACTAGATAGGCATTTTTGATAGGTAGGGGAAAGATGTGTATAAGATATGTAATTCTAAATAGGGTACTAAACAGTAGACAAAAAGTTGAATTTAGGCAAGGTTGGACATACAAAATATGTAGTCCAAATGTGTGGTTTGATGGTTCTATTTGATCTTCTAAGTTGTGTAGTTGAGTGATGGACAGGTTCAATGTTGAAAGGTGATGAAATGGTATTAGGTGAGGACTTAAGATTTGTTGGTTCTGTGTCATGCAATTGATTTGCATTCTCAAGGTAGGAATGAAATTTAGGAGAGGGATTATCTAAATCCTATTCCATGAAAGTGTCCAGGAAAAGTGGTTTACTAGCTGAATGCCAAGTAAAGGGAAAAATTTGTTCATGAAAGACTACATCTCGGTTAATACACATTGATTTTGTATGCAAATAATACAAAACATGCCTTTCCTTGTAAGGGAGTAGCCAAGAAAAACACAAGGAATGGACCTTGGAGTAAACTTATCATGAAGAACCAAATTGGTAGCATATTCCAAGCAGCCAAAGACCTTTAAATGATCCAACTTAGGTTTTGTTCTAAAGAACTTTTCATATGGTGAATGACCATCTAAAACTCTCGTAGGCAGTCTGTTAACGATATAAACAACATCCTCGACTGCATAACCCCACAAGTAATTTGGGATGCTAGATTGAAATTTAAAGTCTTTAGACATGTTTAGTATATGCCTATGTTTTCTTTCTATCACTTCGTTTTGTTGTGGAGTGCAGACACATGTACTTTGATGTATGATGCCTAAACCAGCTAGTAGATCACTACATTAGTGATTAAAGAACTCCAATCCATTGTCGGTTCTAATGCATTTACGTGATTTTGAACCATATGAATAAAGTCTTTCAATGTTTGATAAACATGAGACTTATATTGCACAAGAAATAGCTAGGTTATCCTAGTGAAATCACCTACTATGGTGAGAAAAAAAATCTAACATTCCCTTGGGTGGGTATCTTATAAGGCTCCCAAATATCTAAGTGCAATAAATCAAAGGCATGTGAGGAATTTGTGTCACTTAATGCAAAGGGTAGTCTAGTTTGTTTAGCTAATGGGCAAATGTCACAGTGAAAATCATGCTATTCAAGTAAATTATGATGTATTTTCCTAAGGATGGGAATTGGTACATGCCCTAATCTTTTGTGCCAAAGTGCAACATCTTTAATATGCAATTTAGTAGACAAAGCTGAAGACAAACAATGAATCTTTATTAATGGATTACTAGGTACAATTGGAGTCTTACAAATATCACTTTTTGTTCCTAAATTAGAAGAATGCAAACTTACTTGTGAATTAGACACAAAATGATATAACCATTGGCATTGCTTACCAATCCCCCTTAGTTTGCCACTCTAAAGATCCTAGATAACACAAAAATCAGGGTAAAATGTAATGGAACAATGACCTAACAAAGTTAATTTGGACTAGGGATGGGCACAGGGAATTAAGGGAATCCCCAACATCCCCGTTTAGGGGTTTTGTATTATAATTCTTTTTAATTTATAATGATTAAAAAAAATTATAATGAATCAAAATATCAAAATTATAATCATGATGTACTATACATATATGTAAATATATTATATATTAATGGTATAGTATTATGTATTACTGTATTAAGTAACAAGTATTAACATATGATATTATGATATTATGATTACGGATAATAGCATATTATGTATAATATACAATTTTTGTTTTGTAGCATATTATGTATAATGTATAATGTATAATATATTATAATAAATTCTAAATAAATTATACCATATATATTATAATTTCTCATTAATATTTTAAATAATACATAATGTATTACATATGATACATTATACATATATATTATAATAAATTCTAAATAAATAGCTACCATAATATAACAAGGGCAATTAGGTTATGGAATTGAAATAATGATTCAATGAGGGACAAAAAAAAATTAAAATGATTTATTTATTTATTATAATCAATCAAAATATCAAATGATACATTATACATATATAACATATATAATGTATAACTTTTGTTTCATAGCATTAACATATTATGTATAATGTACATACATACA